GTGTGTGTGTGTGTGTGTGTGTGTGTGTGTGTGTGTGTGTGTGACGGGGGACAGTCTCAGAAGTAGACAGGGCCAAGGAAAGAGGAGGAGACCGAGGGTCCCAGTGGCCCCACCTTCAGGGTTGGGCGAGCTGAGCAGGTTGCGGTAGAGCGGCCGCTCCAGGAACAGCAGCTTCCAGCTGAGGCTCGGGGGCAGCTCCAGCTTCCCACTCAGGGGACCCCATTCCTCCACCAGCAGCTGCCGCGCTTCAACCTCCGACGGCGCGTTGGGCGGCGGCAAGTCAGGGGTCTCCGGGGACACAGGCGACCGCGGCGAGGGCGGCGAGGGCGGGGACTGCTCGGTCGGGGGCCGCTCCTCGGAGCTCTGCCTGCCACCTAGCGCGGCTCCGTCCAGCACCTTCTCCATCGCGAGGATCTAGGCGAATGGGTCGCGGTCCAGTGGGGATCCAGGTTAACTGGGGGTGGAGGGGCGGAGCCACCCAGTAGGCATTTAAAAGAGGGAGTGTTGGTGAAGGATCTGAGCCCTGGGGGCTCTCCGCCCTCAGGTCAGAGCCCAGCTCCCAGGGTCCTCTTCTTCCTGACCAGGGAGCCAGACCCCAGCCCTCCTCCCTTAGACCTAGGGTCCAGGACCTAGCCCTCCTCCCTCAGACCTAGGGTCTAGTCCCCACCCCTCCTCCCTCAGTCCTAGGGATCCAGACCCCACCCCTCCTCCCTCTGACCCAGGGTCCAGACCCCAGCCCTCCTCCCCTCTGACACAGGGATTGAGACCCCAACCCCCCTCCCTCAGACACAGGGATCCAGACCCCAGCCCTCCTCAGACCCAGGGGTCCAACTGTTTCCCACCCTCCTGCCCCAGTTTCTTGTGGCCAGCTGAGGCCTAGCCCTGGGTCAGTGGGGTGACACAGAGGTAATGTCAGGCTCTGTGCTCACTAATGAGGCCTCGTTAAGGTAGGCCTGGTAGGACTGAGGTGAATTAAGGCCATCCCTCATCCCATAGAGGGCTTTGGGCAGGAAGCCATTCAACCGCAACACCATCTCTCCTGGGACACACCTTAGGTACCCGGACTTTGATTTATTTCAAAGTGCTCTCCTCTGAGGAATAATGAATAGCAAAGTAACCACAGAAGCATTAGAAATGCAACCAAAGGAACTGAAAAAAAGGTGTCCCAAATGGTTTCATTAGCCACCATATTTATTTATTTATTTATTTATTTATTTATCTATTTATTATTTATTTATTATTTATTCATTTATTCACTTTGGTCTTTTGGGGACAGGGTCTCCTTGAAGCCCCAGCTGGCCTCAAACTCGCTATGTAGAGCAGGTTGGCCTTGATCTGTCAGAGAGCCATCGGCCTCTGCATGCCTATACTTCTAGCCTGACTTTTTTTGTCTTGTTAATCAAGATGAGGGGACCAGAGGGAGGGACAGAATCAGAGATGGGGGCTCAAGGGTGGGGGATCCAGGCAGTTCAGAGGCGGCATTCTCTGACTGGGCTTTTTTGGGTGACTGCACCTCTCTCTGCCTCCTCCCAAAGACGTCACAGGGAGTTTGGAGAGAGAGATGGGGCCGTGGTGGAGGCAGGACATTGGGGTGTGAGGAACCTGTTGGGTCAGATGCCCATGGCCACTTCCTGCCTCACTTCCTGCCTGTCATCCCCTCCTTCAACCTGGTCAAGTTAGCTTATGCAGGCCATCAGCTGCAGAAGCTTCCAGGCCTTGGCCCGCCAGGAGCACTCCTGGGGATCTGAAGGTCACCTCACTCCTATCAAAGAGGAGTGGGCACTAAGATGATTGATGGGTGGTTATAGGAAAGGCAAGGGTTACAGCTGAAGCCTCTAGCCCCTGTCTCAGCCACAACAGCCCTGGGCAGTCCACTGTTGACTTTTTGGTTTTTGTTCTTGCTGGCTTTTAAGGTTTTTTTGTTATTGTTGTTATTGCTTTTTAAAAAAATAGATTTATTTAAGGCCGGGTATGGTGGCGCACACCTTTAATTCCAGCACTCGGGAGGCAGAGGCAGGTGGATCTCTGTGAGTTCAAGGCCAGCCTGGTGTATACAGTGAGTTCCAGGACAGCTGGGGCTACAGGGAGACCTTGTCTCAAAAAGACCCCCCCCAAAAGATTTATTTAATTTTAATTTTTTTAAAAACATTTTATTATTATTATTTTATGTGTATGAGTGTACTGCTTGCATGCATGTAAGTGTACCTGTGACATGCAATGCCTGTGGAGTTCAGAAAAGGGTGTCAGATCCCCTGGAAACTGGAGTTACAGACAGTTGTTAGCTACCATGTGGGTGTGGGGAATTGAACCTGTGTCCTCTGCAAGAGCAGTCAGTGCTCTTAACCCATGAGCCATCTCTCTAGCCCCTTATTTATTATTTTTCTTTTATATGTATGAGTGCATTGCCTGCATGTATGTGAGTGCACCTGTGTTGTGCAATGCCCAAGGAGGAGAGAAGAGGGCATCAGACCATGGTTGTTAGCTGCCACATGGATGCTGGGAACCAAACTGGGTCCTCTGCTGCTAAGCCATCTCTCCAGCCTCCAATTTTTTTGGTTTGTTTGAGACAGAGTCTCCCTGTAGCCCCAGATGACCTGGAACTCTCTATATAAACCAGGCTGGCCTTGAACTCACAGAGATTTGCCTGCCTCTGCCTCCCAAGTGCTGGTATTAAAGGTGCCACAAGGCCCAGCTTACTTTTTAAAATTTTATGTGTATGTGTGTATCTGAGTGTATGTATGGGCACTCTGTGAGTGCAGTGCCCCCAGAGGCCAGAAGGGGGTGTCAGATCTCCTGGAGCTGGAGTTACAAGTGGCTGTGACCTGCCTGATGTGAGTGGTGGAAACCAAACCTGAGTCCCCTGCAAGAGCAGTCAGTGCTCTTAAGTGCTGAGTTGTCTCCAGCCCTTTTTTGTTTTTTGAGACAAGGTCTCATGTAGCCCAGGCTGACTTCAAACTTGCTATGTAGCCAAGGCTGTCCTTAAGCTTCTGCTTCAATCTCCCAGGTGCTGGACAGACTTAGGCCATCATGCCCTATTGTTGTGTTCATAGCTATTGCCCCATTCCCAGACCAGGTCCCCACACTTCCTCAGACACTTTCTGGCCACATTCCCTTCAGACTGGTGCAGATCCAGGTAGCCCAGCCTAGTGAGATGCTCACGTCACTGACAGCTGCCTACGTGCCTCACAATGTTCACAGTTCTTTAAGTGGAGTCAGTCACTCTTGCTTCACATCTACCCTACCCAGTCCATGTGTTGTGACACCCACTTTGCCAAATAGGAAACTGGAGAAGCACAGAGAGGTCTAGTGACATGCTGGAGGCTGCACAGCTGGGATGGAGCAAGTTGGACAGACTCCCGCTCAGTCTCAAATGCGTGATCCAGGGAACAGACTCAAATCAAGAAACACAGCCTGGGGCTCACTCATGATGACAGGGTATATCTATTGATTGTCTTCAAATCATTCAACTTTAGAAGAATCCTGCACAGAACTGGAAGCTGATAATAGACCCTCCACATACAGCTCAGGGAGCAGAGGCTGGTGTGGTGACATGCCGTGCTCTGAGAGGGCTGGGAAGTCCCCAGGGCCCCAAGGGTGGAGGGAACTCTTCGGAATGCACCCTCCAAGTGTCACCCTGTCACACCCCAGCAGGTTCCCAGAACACACTGGCAGAGCCCACGGCACACCCATGACCACATACACTCCTGTGGCCATCATGGCACACAAGCCCCCACCCTGCCCCAGCTGCCCACCCACCCCTGCTGGGCCTGCACAGTCAGGGTAGGAGGGAGGTGGAAGGCCTGGCAGGTGGAGGAAGAATCCAAGCCGGGGAATGACTGAAGCCTGCTGGGACCTGGAAGGAAGTGTGGGGAGGAGCCTGGAGAGGCGTCTTTTCTTTTTAAATTCATCTATTCATACACAATTTCATGCATGCGTGCGTGCGTGCGTGCGTGCGTGCGTGCGTGTGTGTGTGTGTGTGTGTGTGTGTGTGTGTGATGTACTTTGCTCATGTCCCCTCTGTTATACTCCTAGCCCCTCACCTTCTGGCTGAACCCCTTCATTTCCCCCACATGTCCTCCACTACTTTCACGGTTTTTATTTTTAGACAATGTCTTCCTGTGTAGTTCAGATTGGCCTCCAAGTTGTGATGCATCTGCCTCAGCATTTTGAATCCTGAGATATTAGACGGCTAGCTAAATGTACTGAGTTTTTCTTCTCTTGTGGTGCTAGAGATGGAACCTAGGGCTTCGTGAATGCCAAACAAGTGCTCCACCACAGAGCCACACCCCAGCCCCTCACTGGGGGATTCTAGGCAGGTGTTCTACCACTGAGCCACACCCCAGCCCCTCACTGGGGGATTCTAGGCAGGTGCTCTACACTGAGCCATACCCCCAGCCCCTCACTGGGGGATTCTAGACAGGGGCTCTACCACTGAGCCACACCCCAGCCCCTCACTGGGGGATTCTAGGCAGGTGCTCTACACTGAGCCCCACCCCCAGCCCCTCACTGGGGGATTCTAGGCAGGTGCTCTACACTGAGCCCCACCCCCAGCCCCTCACTGGGGGATTCTAGGCAGGTGCTCTACACTGAGCCCCACCCCCAGCCCCTCACTGGGGGATTCTAGGCAGGTGCTCTACACTGAGCCCCACCCCCAGCCCCTCACTGGGGGATTCTAGGCAGGTGCTCTACACTGAGCCCCACCCCCAGCCCCTCACTGGGGGATTCTAGGCAGGTGCTCTACACTGAGCCCCACCCCCAGCCCCTCACTGGGGGATTCTAGGCAGGTGCTCTACACTGAGCCCCACCCCCAGCCCCTCACTGGGGGATTCTAGGCAGGTGCTCTACACTGAGCCCCACCCCCAGCCCCTCACTGGGGGATTCTAGGCAGGTGTTCTCCCACTGAGCCACACCCCAGCCCCTCACTGGGGGATTCTAGGCAGGTGCTCTACCACTTAGCTGCAACCCCAGCCCCTTGTGGATTCTAGAGAAGTGCTCTATGCACCTGATAGAGTGTGCAATGACCAAGAATGTTGGAAAGGGAAGGAAGCCATCCTAGAAGAAGAAAAATAAGAATTTTAGCTCCATCTTGCCAAATTATAATCCAATATTGGAGAAATATAAAAATTGAGGAGCCCTTAGAAACTTTTTGTTGTTTTGACCTTTTTTTTTTTTTTCCGGTCTCTT